CATCACACACAGCTTTATCGGCTTCGACGACGACGACGCGCCGGCCGGATCGGATAAAAATTTCCCCTTCGATGATCGAGTCGCCGGGGTAGAGCCTTGTCTTTTGTTCCTCTTTACGCGCTGGAGGAGCTAACTAATACTACCTTCGTATTATTTTAATGGACTAACGCCGTTGACTTTTTATCTAATATTTGACCATTCGTCTTATTTAAAAAAATTATGTAATTATCATTCATTTTATTGTGACTTGATTCATCATCAAATATTCTTTAAGCATGACATAAATATTTTCATATTTACATAAAAATTTTGAATAAAATGAATGGTCAAATATTGGTTAAAAAGTCAACGACGTCATACATTAAAATACGGAGGGAGTACAACTTTCTTAGTTCTAAAATAAATATAAGAGTTAATTACACTTTGGTCCACCTTTTGTTACCAAAGTTTCACTTTGGACTATCCTCTAGCTCATATTTTCACTTTAGACTAGATAAGATTACTTTTGGTACACTTTGGACCACCCCAAGTCATTTTCTTTAGCTGTATCTGCTCTATAATATAGTAAAAAAAATTGCATGTGTAAGTTGAAAAAGATTACCGGGTTACGAGTTGCTGATGTGCTTAAAGTTGGAAAAGTCATTTATGTATTCCTAAAAAGTTTATGGGGTGGTCCAAAGTGAAAGAAAGGTAAAGTAACCTAGTCTAAAGTGAAAAAATATGTTAAATGGTGATCCAAAGTAAAACATTGGTAATAAAAGGTGGCCCTAAACGCAATTTGCTCTAAATATAATTCTCTTTTATAAATTTAAACTAAAGGGTTACACGTATTTTAAATATTTTAAAATGGACAAAGTACTGTATTGATTGCAAGCTTATGATGGCAATCTATCTACTGCCTTTCGCCAAGCGTATGAATCTTGGACAGGGAAAAAAAACATGCCATTGTTTTGGCCGTCGCTGCCTTTAAACCCGTTATACTTTAATAAGATATGTAGATTCTACTTTAGTTTATGTTAACATATTTTCTAACTATTTAACAATATATTTTATATGAAAAATTTTTATATAGAAGTTACTCTAAAATATCAAATAATCTATTTTTAAGTTTATAATAATTAATTAATCATGTGTTAACAGCTTGTCTCATTTTATTAACTTTTAAGTACGTTTAAAGATCTTCACCTTCGTCTAAGTCCAATGGGGCCTTACCCTTTATAAGTTTTTAGTTTAGCAATAATACTTCTCAAAACAAAACTTGTTACTGTACGTTACTCATTCCGTACAGGGCACCAATATATGCTTGCTTGTTGTCTGCTGCAATATAAAGTAGGAACTAAAAATATACTCTATGTCTCTATGATCTGTTTGCGAATATTTGTTTGTTTTGGTCGGAAATAGATGAACTTTGATAGTTACTCTCTCCATTCCAAAATATAAAAGATTTTAGCTGGATGTGACATATATTATAGTACAAAATCTGGACAAAGGGTTTATCCAGATTCACTGCACTAGGATATGTCACATCTATCCAAAATCTCTTGTATTTTGGGGTGGAGGGAGTTCTTTATAAACAATATCGAAGATAATAAATATAAAATATTTTTTATTACAACGGTAATATTGTAGTCTAATACCCTGTTTAGATGGGACTAAAACTTTTAAGTCCCTATCACATCGGATGTTTGGACACTAATTATAAATATTAAACGTAGACTATTAATGAAACCCATCCATAATCTTGGACTAATTCGCGAGACGAATCAATTGAGCCTAATTAATACATGATTAGCCTATGTGATGCTACAGTAAACATTCTCTAATTATGGATTAATTAGGCTTAAAAAATTGTCTCGCAAATTAGGTTTCATTTATGTAATTAGTGTTGTAAGTAGTCTATATTTAATACTCTAAATTAGTATCTAAATACAGAGACTAAAGTTAAGTCCCTGATCCAAACACCACCGGTAAGGACTCAAAATATTGTAGAGTAATACAAGTATGGAGTCATGATGATACGGGTGTCAGCTTGGCGATCAAATCAGGCTCAATTGATGTAAAATCATGCACTTTGTCATTTTCATGTGAAGCAATTCTGCAGTAGTATCTTTTTTTTAATCGAATTAGCACGAGATTATATATTTTCATCGAATATAGTAAAAAAAATAATATAACCCTTAAAAGTAAGGAGGGAAAAAAACCAGATTATACAGTACGAGGTAAAAGATCATGTAGTCGCTTAGCTCCTACCAGCGTCCATGTCCTCGCTTATTTCTTCATTATTATGAAGAGGCTGCAGTTGTATCCAATGACTACTGTTAGAACATCATCGCTTGAACCATAATAATTGGCTGTAGCTCTTCAGCAAAGACCAGAATATTTCATTCCATTATCTAAAAGAAAGTACATCGTCGCTTGATGATGTATTTTCTTACTTAGACCGTGTTTAGTTCGTGTGCTAAAATATTTTTAAGTATACGGACACACATTTAAAGTATTAAACGTAAACTAATAACAAAACAAATTACAGATTCCGCATGTAAACTGCGAGACGAATTTATTAAGCCTAATCAATATGTCATTAGCAAATGTTTACCTAGTATCATATTGTTAAATCATGGCGTAATTAGGCTCAAAAGATTCGTCTCGTAATTTATATACAAACTGTGTAATTAGTTTTTTTTATATTTAATACTCTATGTATGTGTTTAAATATTTGATATGATAGAATTTTTGGAAGTTATAAGGAAATTAAAACACTGCCTTACCTGGGTTGGGTGGTAAAGCGAAAGGTGACTGACTGCTGCTGCCGTTTGGCGAGGGACAGATTATCCGTTGATTGATTATCCGGATATAGGAGTACTCGGTTGCAGATACTGGCGGAATATCACGCATATGACCTGACATGGCGTGACGAGCACTTGTAGTTGTAGTAGCATCTAGACACGGCCAGCAGAATCAAATGATTTAAATCCCTCAACACGTGAACGGGGGATTTGGGGAATCCAATAAAACACCTCATATCCATCATCATACACATATAAGAAAATTCCCTATATAAAAGTTCATATATTTTTCATATAAGAAGCTAAGTGCTACTTTGATTTGGAGGAAAAATATATAAACTTTTAAGGATTTTAATCCTATAAGAAAATTTTCTACGAAAGCCTTTAAAATAAAGGATCGAATCATATACTATCTTCTAAAATTTCTATGAAAATGACAATCCTATAGAGATTTTGAAGAAAATTTAGCAAGAGCTCATACCTCTTAAAATTTTTTTTTTGAGTATCTCACTCATCAAATCCATGCGTTTTGCAATTGCATTTCTATTAAAATCGTGTGTTTTTACTATTCCTTAGTTTTTATATTCATGCGATTCAAAAAGGGTCAAAGAGAGTATATTTGCACGCAGGATCACATGCATCGATCCATGGTTGTTACCTACCGTAGGTTGTCGTGAAGAGGTCGGCACTGCACAGTGCACACGCAACGTCAAAACCCCCAGATGAGTCTCAAGGAGACAGCACAGCACGGTAAGACCAGTGGCAGTGTCTACAGTACTAGAATGTGTAGTGACAGTTTGGTTTGTGACCTAAATTGGCCTTACTAATTTTTGGCAAAATTAAATTTTAACAAGTTTTGGCATGATAAATTTTAGGAAGGCAAAGTTGTATTTGGATTAAAGTCAAAATAGCCTAAGTCAACTATAGAAATGGCCTATTTTCTCAGACATACCAAAATTTAGCTTCAAACCAAATAGACACTAAACACTATTAAATTTATCAAATATTGATAAGTTAAATTTAGGTCTCAAACCAAATCAGCCCGTACACCTGAATTTGCGTTGGCAGAGAAGATGATGGATCGATGGGCCTGAAGCCGAAGCGAAAAGCCTCGGATCCGGAGACGACGGGTATGGTCCAGGGTCGAGGGGAGGGCGCGGCCGGCAGGGCCACGACAAGCGCTTCCCTGGGCCCCCAACCCCAACCCCAAGCCGGCGCCATGTCTCCTCCACCTCCTCCGCTGTTTCGCTCCTCGCGCGCGTACGTGGACCGCGTCACGCGTCTTTGGAATTTCGGATGGAATAAGCAGCTTGCTATTTAATTGCACGGTGTCAAAGATGCTGCTAATGGAGCCACGTTTTTCCCTTTACCGCCGCTGCGGTAACCGGGGTTTTCACCGCCGCCGAGGTGTGGTAATAGTAAAGTAGTGGCCGGTAATCCTACGGAGTTAAGAAAGAAAATATAAATTTTGGATATTTTCTTTTGGATAAATTTTGTTCGGTTTCTTCACTATTCATCACAATAATAACCATATAGTTACTGGTCTTACCGTCGAGGGTATGGCAACACCTCTTTCTCCGATGAGATGTATCAATTCAGTATTCCAAATTGACCTCTAACCTGCAGCCCCAAGATTCGAGTGGTACAAGTCCTGATTAATCACTGGCTGGCAGCAGGGTTAGATCGACCCCGCTACCACTCGACGATAATTAAGTCCCTGATCATCCTGCATGCTACATGTAAGCGTTTTTTTTTTTTCTATTACACGTACGTGGCAACAATTTAACACGCCTTGTCTTTATTCTCGCGACTTGATCAATCAGTAGCCTTTTCTCGTTACATGGAAGCGCTTCTCATGATGATCGCCCAATGACATTTCCATTTCCTAAATCGAGGTAATTTTGTGTTATTACTTATCAGTAATTATACCAAGTACAGTTTAAAAAAGTTTACCGATTTGATCGGCATATGCCTGAGACTGAGAGGTATCGCGCTATGGCCCATACGTTAATTTGTACGCGCAGTGCACATATGCGGCCTGCTTAGAGAGATGGACCTGCAAATGCCCAGAGTCTGTAAGAGCACGTTAAAATTGGGATAAGTCTATTTTGTGTCCCTCATGCCTTGCCCTAGGTGGAATCGCATCCCTCAACCACAAAACCCAGTTTAACGCCTCCCTCATCTTCGAAAACCGGTGCAAATCAAATCATCGGGTGGTTTTTGTAAGCAGTTTTATTCTACATGATACTTATTAGGTGGCATTCCAGATTGAAAAAAAATTAAAAATGACAGTGGGCCCCACATGTCAGTCTCACTTTCTCCACCTCTATCCTTTTCTCTCTCTGGGGTCTCCCTCTTCTCCAAGGTCCAGGAACAGACCGATGCCCGCGAAGACGAGAGGGAGAGGTCGGTGGCAGCGGATCCGCCTTCCCGCGCCCCCACGCCTCTGCCTCCTATCCGCGGCGATGGAGCTCAGCCTCCGATTCCTATCCGGTTTTGCTCTAGCATTGGGCTCTGCCATGCTCCTCCTCGAGGCAGTCCTGTGTCGGCCATGCCTTCTGATGTGCCCGTGATGGTACTGCTCCCGTCGTGGCTACACCTCCGGTTTGTGTACGACGTCCTCACCGCTGCGGTCGTCACCGCGGACGCCGGGATGCTCCGAGCCGGAACCATGTCGACCGGGGCTTCCTCGCCTGAATCGTGGCTATCAGTGAAAACCCGGCAGCTTTAGCAAAAACCTGCAAGAGTTTGTATGCGAGAGAGATCGAACAAATAGGGGCACAAGTGTTTGATTCTACGCACATCAAAGCTCAACTTGCACAACTACACAAACGCAGCTGTGCACCCTAACTGAAAAATAGAAAGCAACGAAAAAACAGCGGAAGGAGATAAACTAAACATGCACAAGTTTATTAGCTAATAATAGTGGCGCTCTTCACCTCCGAGGACCAGCGCAAGCTCGACCGGCTCAGGACCGTCTACCGGCCACCAGCTCTACTCCAAGCTCATCAACGAGTGCGCCTTCATGCGCCGCACCATGGCCAACTGCCACTGCGGCGTCGGCTAGCTGCTTGAGGCGGAGGCCGAGCTCCACCACCGCAGATAGGAGGCGAAGGCCGAGGTGTGGGGGCGCAGGAAGGTGGATTAGCCGCCGCCGCCGCTGACCTCTCCCTCTCCTCCTCTTCGCGGGTATCGCCGGCCGACAGCCGTCAGTCTGTTCCTGGACCCCAGATAAGAAAGGGAGATGAGAGAGAGAGAGAAGGGCAGATGTGGAGAAAGTGAGACTACATGCGGGGCTCCTGTCATTTTTTTTCTATCTAAATGCCACCTAAGCGTCACGCAGGATAAAACTGCTTACAGAACCATCTGAGGAGTCGATTTGCACCGGATTTCGGAAATGGAGGTGGCGTTATACCCGATTTTGTGGTTAAAGGATGCGATTTGACCAAGGACAAGAGATGAGGAAGGTAAAATATACTATCCTTTTTTATTAGCCCAAAGCCCAAACTGCAAATAGTATTGCACTTTCGGCCCATGTTGAAAGCCTCGCTCATTTCCGTAATTCCGTTTGAATGCCAGGTCCTTGGATTGTTTCACCAAGAGGAACCCCAAGTTAATTTTGTGCAAGCTTGCCATGTACTTCCTTATCAGGTTATATTTATGGAAGAGTGTAAGCGGGCAGACACACAAATCCATTTATCTCTATCTCTGTCTTTACTATTATAAAAATTGAAGATGTTTTATCGTTATTTTAGTACGTCATCTGTATTTGAGTCAGTTTTTAAGTTCGTTCTCTTTTGGAAATACAGATCCGTGTTTGAGACGGATTTTAAGTCCGTTTGCTTTTGGAAATACAAAATAAGTAGTATAAGAAATTTCTTTTTAAAAAAAACTTGCATGCGAACTTGAGATGAAAGTTGGACTTCTAATTGCAGCTCATGATTTTCAAAAAAAAAAAAAATCCAAGCGAATTCCACAGTGAATTTCATCCTATCTAAGATTAAAATAGCATTTATCCATTGCAACACACGGGCATTATTTTTTAGTAATACAAATAAGCGGGGTAATTCAGTGGGTTACGTGTTTATTTGTATTATAAATGGGTTCGCGGGCCTTTCTGTTTGCGCCCTCATTTTTATGTATAAAATAAAATTGAATTATAGATATATATATGGGTCGGAGTGACACTAACGCAGGAATTTTACATAAATTATTAATTAAGCTTCCATCAAATTCGTTCAAAACTCCTCTGTTCAGTTAGGAAAGAAGGACAGAGCAAAGAAGCAAAGCTTCACCCGAATCAAATATCAATACGATCTAGTAAAAACTCAGAATAAAGTTCCAGCAAGTCTCATGTTTCAAAGAGGCAACTTTTCATAAGAAGTATAATACTTGAAAGTTATAGGCGAAACCCTCCTCCCCGTGTCGACCACACACAGGTGACTGGGGGCAAACCTTAGCCACCGTCTCCGCCACCCCCTTCATTCCTCTCTTCCGCCTCGCCGCCATCAGAACACTCCATTGGAAAACGAGTAGCGAGCTGGGATAGCGGCAGCGGGGCCAACCCCATCCCTCATGCGTCTAGGGGAGTCTGCATGGCAGTGCACAAAGCGAGGACGGTGTGACGTGACGGTGGTGGTGCAGCGACTAGATCTATGCACCCCCCTCTCCCGGGCGTATTTGGCCAGGAGTGGCGGGAGGCCCTCGCGTCTAGTAGCTTTGGGCAGGGGAGGCCTTCACGGCGATGGCAAGGAGGTGGCCATGGCTGGTGACGTGGGGAGGCTGTCGCGGGCGCCAGCAAGAAGGCTGCCATGGCCTGCGGCAGCGGGAGACTGACATGAGCGTCCGGTGCGGGGCGACGCAGTGAGGTTGGGGTGGTCAACGTGGGGGTTGACAGGTGACCAACGGTGGGATTGGCAACCAACAAGGGAGGCAGCTGTAGATGGCCAGCTGCACGACGACGACAAGTCTGTGTTACTTTCTTCGGGTGACGGCGTTGGCTGTGCTAGAAGGTGTGGGCTGGCCATTGGAGGGGTGCCAGTGCAGTAGAGCTACCGGCTGGTAGAGATTGTCTGGGGTTTGGAGCTCTAGAGTGGCGATGACGGGTACCGGAGTGCATGGGTGCTATAGGCGAAAGTCTAGGTCAAGGTTTCCTGAGCCGGCAATGACATCGGCTTCAGGTGCCTTGACCCTCCTTGGGGCGTTGTCTTGCAGTCACACTTCCCCTCCTTGGCAGAACTCTACAAGTGAAAATTCAGTCCAGTTGGATTGGCTACGGTGGCATCTAAGACGTCATGACCTCCCTGGAGGCATTGCCTAGGAGCAGGGGTGGAGCTAGAGTCATCATGGGGGTTCCCAGGGACCCGGTGAAAAATTTTTTGTAACTAAACATTACCAATTTTGACCATGTGTGCACCCCCTCAATATAAATTTAGGCACCAGTATCAAATTAAACTCGATATAAAGTAGAGTAAATTAAACAAGTGGCACCCCCTCTATTTTGTTCTAGCTCCGCCCCTACCTAGGAGGTCTCCGTTCCTCGTCGTTGCTGCCTTCTCTCAGTTTGGTCATCAGCAGTTCTAGGTTGCCCTCATCAGGTTGAAGTGAGGGATGAGTTAATCTCCATCTCTTTCGCCCTCTCTTTCTCCTCAACCCTTGTACGTGAGGATGATTCGAAGCCCATCGATGATCTTCTATGAGTCGTTGTTCGGCGGTGCGTTTGCAACTTCCTTTGTAGGTCTAGCGGTGACTGGTCACGCTTAGGAAGGGTTGGCTTGATGCTAGTTTCTTCTCCTGGGATATGCTAGGACCTAGGAGCTACTAGCTTGCGGTGGTGGTGTGCTTGTTTTTGTTTGTTTCCTAGCTACGATCTTCCATTCTACTGCTATGACATTTCGCACTGTTTTGCCCGGGTCGTTTAAAAAAAAAGTTGTAGGCAAGCTCCAAAAAATGATGCTTTGTTTGGAGCAAAACGAACCAACATCATATCAACCTAGCTAGCAAATAATGGGCGATAGCGCTAGCTAGGTTGTTCTTTTTTTCCTTTGCTTTTTTTATTTACCTAAGATTGGAATTATTCATTGCTTTTCGTGAGAGGCCTGTCAAAATAATACTATCTCCGATCCATGAAGTGATAAGTACAACCTAACCTAATCAGTACATGAGATTTGTTCTGCCTGATCAAAATAGTAAGGGTAGATGCTAGATGCTGGATGATCAACAGGACAATAGTAAGGTTAACTAAGGAATTAGCAGAGAAGCTAGGTGAGTATACCCAGCCTAACTAATGTGTGTTCGACTGTTTGTTGAACACCTTGTAAGGCACCTAGCAAGAGAGATGTTAGTAAAACAATATATTTAGATATTAAAATAATCCAAATCACTATCAAATCCAGATTATATTATCCTCATGTGACATTTTAACCGCTTTTGATAGTGGAGGGTGTGTAAAATACATATTTTCTTACTTGATGAAATGATGAGTGCTCTACGATCGAACCCTATAGTTGAGGGGGCGTAATATGGATAAATATCCAACACACTATAAAAAGAACGATTTTTTACTACACTTTGAATTTATTTTTACTGGCGGACGTAAAAACCTTGTTCATATAAATAAGAGTAAAGTGCACGGGTGATCCTTAAACTTAAACTTATAGAGAGTATCATTTAGGTCTCTAAACTCTCAAAATTCATATCTAAATCTCAGAACTTATCATAGTATCTAGGTCCCAAATCATCACAACCCCTTCAGATCCTATGTGGCACTGATGTGGCTTGCCACACGGACATGGCTTGGCATCATTTTGATTGACAAATGAGACCCATTTAAAAATTTTTCTTTTCTTTTTTTTTCTTCTCCTTCTTCTCTTTTTTTCCTCTCTTCTCCTTTCTCTGTGACCCGAGCAGAAGAAAGGAAAAAAAAAGAAGAATGAGAAGAAAAAGAAAAAGAAAAGAAGGAAAAAAGAGAAAAGGACACATCACATCCATGTGTCATGCCACATCAGCGCCACGTAGGATGCTAAAGGGGTTGTGTCAATTTGAGACCTAAATGATGCACTTTAACAAGTTTTAAGATCTGGATCTGTATTTTGAGAATTTGAGGACCTAGATGACAATACTCTAAAAATAATAAAAGTGCCTTAAGAAAACCACTTGCAAAAATACATCTATTTTTGCAAGCGATGCTTTTAAGATTTCGCTAGTAAAAATAAAAAAATTGACTTTTACTAGCGGGGTCTTAAGAGCCCGCTTGCAAAAATCGTGGGAGAGCATAAAATAGCATGCACGCACTCACCAACCAAGCTATGGAAATCATTTTTTTCCCTCCCTCTTCTTTTCCTCGGCTACCTCCCCCTCTCTCTCACCTAGATGAGATCTCGCCTCCCTAGATCCTACCCCTCCCTCACTTATATCTCTCTCTCGATTCGGCGGGCAGTGGTGAAGGGATGTAGCGGTGCTCAGCAGTGGGCGGTGCGGTGGAAGGGGTGACAACCTTAACGATGAGAATGACAGATGGTGCACGGGAGTAGCGGTAGAGCAGATCTGGCGCCAGCGGGCCTCGGGAGAGCGGATCCGCCACCATCGGGCCTCGGGAGCGGCGTTTCCATCACCGGCAGCCCTCGGGAGCTACGGTTCCTCCACTAGCCAGCCACGACCTTCCTCGCCGAGTCCGGCCTTCCTTCCTCGCCGACCTCCGCACGCCCTCCCGTCGGTGGGCCTCCGAATGGAGAATCCGTCAGTGATGAGTTGCATCGTGGTGGATTTGGCGCCAACAAGTCGCACAGACGTGCGAGCTCATTCACAGCGAGCAACGGGCAGATCCAGATGTCTGCTCAATAGTGGTGGTGAGGCCTTCGACCTGGCGGCGGCGAGCTGGTTCACGATGGATAGCGGGCAGATCCAGGCGGGATCTCTGAAAGTGCATTAATCCCTCTAGTGGGTTTTGGTGATTAATGACAAATGTGGTTAAGGGACTAATGAGTTCATTGAGTATCTTTCAGGTGCATTAGTCCAAGGTGTGGAAGATGGATGCTTGGAGACCCCCCAAAAGTATAAAATCAAAGCGAACCGGAACTCGAGAAGTGCATAGGATAGTTTATTTATTGCAATCGAGTTTTTAGGAAAAACCGTACTATTAAGAGGGGTTCCAGGTGATGCTCTGAGATATCTCAAGTGCTCTTAGTATGAACCAAGTGTCAAATTTCCCTAGGAGTCATTTTTGCAAATTTCCCTAGGAGTCATCAGGTCCGGAAGTTCCGGTCTGATGAAAGAAATTTTCCTAAGTGTTA